GGATATGGAAGACTAGAGAAAAACCAATGCATTTGAATTATGGTGTTTACAAAGAAAATTGAAAGTACCATGGATTTCCAGAATAACAAACAAATGTGTCTTAGAAGTATAGCCAGAGTGTTCTAGAAGCGAGGATGACTTAAGTCTTTTGTACTTTGGACATGCTGTCAGGAGGTACAATCCTGGAGAAGGACATCATGCTTGTAAAAGTGAAGGGTCAATCTTACAGTCCGGGAATGAAGGACTCTAGGACCATCAAGGGAGAGGAACACAAGTGGAATGTGGAACCCTGTCCAGAGAAGCAGCAACACCAGAAATGGAGGCTGAGATGAGGGCATGGAGAAATAGAGCAGATGAGGACTCATGGAAAGAGAAAGGCTATTTTCTGGTGGCTAGAATGTGCTCTTTTTAGTTGTTTAAATGATTATATATTCCTGAGTGTTTTTGTGTACATCTGCCCCCCTCCAAAAAACCCCAGAGGGAATAGAAGCAAATACTGTTGAATGATGATGCACAGAGATTGTAATCATTGCAAATGAAACAATGTTCTTCCGTGTAATAAAACTGATGTTCTTCCATGTAAACTATCACTCAATTCACAATAAAAACTTAAAAAAAAAAAGTCAGCGAAAAAGATGAAAACCCACAACAAGATGGATTGATACAATGAAAGAAACATGGGCTCAAACATAACAATTTTGAGGATGACGTAGGACTGGGCAGTGCTTTGTTCTATTATATATAGGGTCACTATGAACCAGAACTGACTTACCAGCACCTAACAACAACAACATGAGTCGGAAGCACCTAGATGGTACCTAACAATAACAACAGCAATGACAGTGCCATATATTTAAATTATTTGTTGCTTTCTTTTAGATGATTTTCTAAATGAAGTTTTTTCATATGTGTTCTTTAGACCATATAGTTTTACTTTTTAAGGAACATTTGTTCCTTCTAGCATGCTTCAGAGTAAACTATCAAAAATATTTCACATCTGCTGTATGCTGGGGAGCTCTTTGGTGTAGTACAAAAAGTTGACATGCTTGGCTGCTAACCAAAAGTTGGATGTTCAGATCTACCCAGAAGCATCTTAGAAATAGTCTGGTGATCTGCTGAAGAACCATCCATTGAAAACTCCATGAAGCACATTTTTGCTCTGAAACACCTGGGGTTTCCATGAGTCAGAATTGACTCAGGAGCAACTGGTTTGGATTTGATTTAATGTTTACTGCATACCACCAGTCATGGGTTTTCATAATGGATGAAATTTTTAAAGTAAGAACAATAGTCATCAATTCGGAGTGCAAATTAAGATCATCTGGAAGATTTTTAAATGTACTGGTGCCTGGACCCCAACCCCAGCAATTCTAATTTAATTTGTCTGGGGTGAGACCTCCTCCAATGAACTTTGTTTAAAATACACGACTAGGGTTGAGAATTCACTGGTCTAGAGAAGGATCTTAGAGCCCACTGGGCTTTAAGGAATTCTTATACTCCTGATATTTTATACAGACTTTAATGTGTCTGTGTGCAAAAGTGGTAAGATGGTTCTCTGTCAAATGTGGAAAACTTACAAGATGCAGAAAAACAAGACAGTCCTGTCAAGTTCCAGCTATCACACGTTTCACTGTATCTTGGAGTATCATGGTCAGAACTGTACTTTTGAAAACTTGTCAGCATTGAGTACATGGCACAGACTTGACAGGGGAAAAGTACATGGAAAGCTGGCTAGGAGGCCCCTATTGGCCAAGTGAGAAGAGTGCTTAGAAAAAAGGTGAAGTTTTGTTAAGCTCAGAAGTTTTATAAGACACAGAGTAAAAGGAGCTATCTGAGTGAGAGACAGAAGTGAAGTGAACCTAGAAAGAGATAACTTTGAAGTGGGTTTGTGTGAATGTAAGCACAGGAAGGACTAGATGGAGTAATTTTATTCCAGTGACATCAGGAAATTAGCTAGCTCTTTCTTCAGGCTGTTTCTATAGAATTGGCTATTGAGCATCCCAGTCTGACCTTGACTGTGCATTAAGACCTTCTGAATGCATTCTGTTCCTGTTGCATATTCCCCTACTTAATAGTAAACATTTCCTTCCATAATTAGCATGACTTAATTCAACCCTGGAAAAGACCACATCTGCATTGTTACCCATGGCAAGTAAATAACTTACGTGTTGGGCCATTTATAATGTTAGCTCCTTTTCTGGCTCTTTCTGTTGTCACTTTTTCCTTACTGCAGTTGGAGGCTGGAGGCTCTTCAGGGAGTAAGACTTCATGTTTTAGGAACAGCTTAAGGAAAGACAAAGTGATTTTTAAATGCAGATAGGTCTCTTGTGATACAATAGTGGATAATTATTATCAGGACTGATTGTGAGGGTTGGAAATGTAAAGGTAGATGTTTTATAGCAAGGAGGAGAGTGATTAACTTTGCAGTCTAGGAGCGGAAGTCCCTGGGACCATCAAGAGAGAAGAGCGGAGAGCGGGACCCTACCCAGAGAAGCAGTGATGCCTGAGATGGAGGCAGAGACGATGGCGTGGAGAGGTGGAGCAGCTGGAGACTTTAGACCCAGAGAGGAAGAGGGGCTGTGTGTTGATGACCAGGGGGCAGGCTTGTAGGGTATTCTGTTTGGTTGGTTGATGATGCATGGAGGGGATTGTAACCATGGCAATGAAACGATATGCGATAGGATGAATGTAAAACTAATGTTCTCCCATGTAAACTATCACATAATTCACGATAAAACATTTTTAAAAAATGAGTACAATTGAAATTTTTCAACTTAATGATATGGATATATATTTAGTTAAAAGCAAGTAATAGAAAATACTGAGAAAAAAGATGTCATTGATAATCTAATAAGAGTTTTATTTTTATTAGCTACTGAGCAGAAACATTCAACAATATTCATTTATTTACAGGTGCTTTTCAATGGGAAGAACTGGAAGAAGATATCAGGAAGAAGTTGAAAGATTGTGGAGATGTTTCAAGTGTAATTGAGAAAGTTAAATGTATTTTAAAAACACCGGGAAAGGTAAATGAGCTAATTGTAAATTAGTTTACTTTGACTTTGTCTGAATTATAACTGGTATGCTATGATGAATATAATATTTAGTCATGAGAAGAGTCAAATAAGATATAAGTATAAATATTTTTCTTAAGTATACTTTTGCCCTTTAAATATATTTAACTCAAGCATGTTGTTTCCTACTATCTTAGCTTTTAATTCATGTAAGAATTACAATATGTATGAGTTACATTTTTAAAATACTCATTTTTTGACTCCATCCTCCGAAACAGTCTCTTGGAGTTCCAGGAACACATGATCTGTGCCAAAAATGAAGGGCTGTTTAATTTGTATAGTTAGGGTTCACCTTATTGGAGATGTTTTCTCACTCCTCCAAATCGTTAGAAACACAGCAGCTTCTCCACGTACCCTTTTCAAGAGTTCTAAGAAATAATCCATCAAACCAAGTGGATAGTTTAGGATTTCCCTCATCAAGGTTCAAATTTACAAATTAGATTTAAAGGTTATAACAAATTTATACAAGGAGGGCTTAAAAAGTTAATGGGAAATTTCCATTGTCTTTCAATTCCATTTTTCTACAAACTTTTTGAAGCCACCTCATATATGGCCATAAAACTCTAGTATATGGTACATTAAAGCTCTAGTAGCTTAGATTATGTAGAGACTTTAAAAGTGGATTTGTTACCTCAGGTGACACCAGGGTCAATCAGCATAGCATAGTCCACAGAGACAATGTTCTACACCCTACTATGGTGAGTAGTGTCTGGAATCTTAAAAGCTCATGAGTGGCCATCTAAGGTGCAGCTATTGGTCTCTCCAAGTGCAGAAGAAAGAAGAATGATAAGAATTAAAGCTGCTTGGAATCAGTTAGTCCAGTAAACCAATGAAGCGAAGCAGGTGAAAATCAGTCTCCATGACTGAGACCACTAGAACTAGACTATGCCCAGCTACCACTAACAACAGATCTGAAAATGATCACATTAGAAGAGCCCTGATAGAGGGGGAGAAAATTTAGAACAAAACTTCAAAATTATTTTTAAAAAAGACCAGACTTACTAGTCACTGAGAGACTTGAGGAACCCGAGACAGTGACCCTTGAACACCTTTCAGGTCTGAAAAGGAACTCGCCCTCATGGTCCAATTTGTAGCCAAGCAACAACACTAGTAAGGTATGTTCACCATGAAATGGTCATTGAAAATCAAAAGGGCAACATTTACCTAAGGACAAAGTTAAGAGAGGGGAAGGAAGGCGGATTGGAGATAGGAACCTCAGGGAAGAAGCAGGATAACTGTTGTTACATAGAAAGGATTGCAGTTATTGAGATGAAACAAAGCCTATCATTTGTTGAATGTAAAACTAATCATCTTGTCTGTAAACCTTCACTAAGTTCACACTGAAACATTTTTTTAAAAAAGAAATTCATGTATGGATCACGCCATCCTTATTAGAATAGTCATACCATCGAGATTCATGTTTAAACTAATAAAACACTGGTAGTTTTTAAAATTAAAAATAAAAAAGATTTGCTGAATTGCAAGATAACTGCATTACACAATTTAGCCAATGTATTATTTCTGATTCTGTGATAAATAAATAATAAATAGATAGATAAGGAATGCAAGTTGTGTGCATTGTCTAGCAGAATATAGGTTTCAGTATAGGCATATGAATATCTGATTTACCCAAAATTTGAGGTACATACAATGGTTCAGGATAATGAACAGTGCTACTTTACTGCATGCGTCAAGACATTATTATGGTTACTGTAATAATAATATTGAAAGTGTTTCTTTAATGTTTTATATGCTCAGAGAGATATACTATATACTATCATTAGAACCATACCTAACTTTGGATTTATGTACAATTCAACTTCAAGATATAAATTTGCAACAGAACTCATTTGTAACCTGGAGACTGCCTATAATTGTAAAAAAAAAAAAAAAAAAAGAGAGAGAGATAAAAGAGTATTCCTTTAGGTTTTTACAGGTGACTTGACTTTTGGCAGTTCTACAATCTACGTTGTTAACATTTTCAAGTTGATATTTCAGAAATGTAGAACATACTAGGTTTTAATGGAGATCACTGACAATGATTTAATTGGGGAAAATATTTGCTTGTTTTAACTAAGTAACATGAAATGAAGGGACAAGCCTTCTTACCTCTTGCTTTGGTGACATGTAGAAGCAGCTACAGAAGTTGTCCAGTTTGACAGAGTAGTAGTTACGGCAGGACTTCTGAATGGCACTGTTGGATCAGCACTAGATTGCAAACCACAAGGTTGGCCGTTCAAACCCTCCAGGTGCTCCTGGGAAACCCTATACAGGGTTGCTGTGAATCAGAACTGACTCAACGGCCCATACCAACAAGAAGTTATGGCAAAGTGGTAGTTTTCTTGAAATTTAATTTGACAGTATAATCCTTACATAGAAATGTGCACATATATCTATATTCTGTTTTTCAGAGTTCTCTGGATTAACTTGTTTATGGACTAGTGAAAATACACATCTGTGTTCGCTCCAAACTTTCAGCCCCCTCTTTTAAATTTCAAAATAGAGAACAAGGCAATTTGTTTATACAGATCATAATCTTTATGTGTGTGCAAATATATATATGTTGCCATTGTTGTTGTTAAGTGCCACTGAGTCAGTTCTGAACCATAGCTACCCTGTATAGGGTTTCTTAGGAGCAACTGGTAAGCTTGGAGCACTGACTTTGCTGCGCAACACATTAACCCACCTCTTGGCCTTTTGGATAAGGCCTACATGCATGTGTATGTATTTTCATATGTAATTGTTCTTCCTGTTACATGCTGAGGAGTCAGTTTTGACTCATAGCGACCCTGTATAGGATTTCTGAGGCTTTAAATCTTTTGCAAAAGCAAGAAAACCTCATCATTTACATAATATTCATGGCATAAAATATTACCTTAATAAAAATGTTAAGGAGTCCTGGTAGCACTGTGGTTAAACACTCAGCTGCTAACCTAAAAGTTGGCCGTTTGAATCCACCAGCTTCTCTGTAGGAGAAGATATGTCAGTCTGCTTCTGTAAAGAGTACAGCCTTGGAAACGAAGCCCTATGGCGCAGTTCCACTCTGCCCTATTAGGGTCTCTGTGAGTTGGGATTAACTGGAGAGCAGTGGATATACGAGTAATAAGGACAGAAGTATTGTCTCTTGTTTTGAACCTGGATCTGATTCTGAACACATTCCTCTAAGTACTGAGAATAAAATTTTTTGTTGTTGTTGAGAAAGGGGAAATTTGGGGGTTTTACGGCTGGCTCCATGATAATGAACTAATTCTCTTCTTTACACAGTAGGAGAGAAGAGTTCTTCCTTCTTGCTGTGCTTTTCTGAGATAAAGGCCCTCTCTCATTCATTGAGGGATTTGTTAATAACCAGTAAATGTGCATTTAAGTTGTGCATTGGCAAGTGGAGAATGTTGGCTGTTTTGACAAGACAATAAACTTCACAGGACTTTCTATAACATAAAGGATACACTGGATAATTTCTGAAGTCCCTGTGAGCTCTCAAATTCTGTGATGTTTCTAAGTATCATTTTTATGTGTGGCAGCCATTACCATCAGTATATCATGGTTTACTACGTATAGAATCTGAGGACGTACTTTATCGGACCAAGACTTACATGAGCCTGTTTTTCTTTTCTTGCTCGTGGATTCTGTTGTTGTGTGCGTGTTCTCCTTTCTTGTGAGGAGGGTTGATGCCATTCTTTCCCTTCATCAAAGGCAAAAAACTTTCCACTGTGTCTCCATAGTGGATGAATCCAGATTAGGGAGTAATTGTTTTTGGTAAGTGTCATCAAGTCGGTTCTGACTCATAGCGACCCTGTATATGTTTTCTGAGGAATGACCGGTGGTTTGAACCACTGGCCTTGTGGTTAGTGGTCCAGTGCTTATCCTACAGCACCAGAATGGGAATTAGGTGTCTTTTCTTTTTGCCATTGCTGCAGTTTTTATTAGACTGTTTCTCAGAGACAAAGAACACTGCGTTTCACAGCTAGTTACACCAAAGCTCAGTGTTCTAATTGCAGATAAGGTTCTGAGATTCAGTAGGGATTTGGGCAAAGGGTAAAGGGAGAAGGACTGGCCCTGGACTTCAGGGTGGCAATAAAGTGATGTCTAATAAGACAACAGAGTTGAAAGTGGATTAAGAATCACAGAAAGAACAAAGCAGTATGTTCTGAATGTGCAGCAGAGGAGAGATGGAGACCACTGTATCAGACTTACTGGAGGCTGCCTGCAAGATGCAGAAAATGTTGAGAGGACAGAGAGGGGTTGTCCTGGGAAGAGGGTGTGTGAAGTTTCAGATGAGAGATTCCGGCACCTTTTTATAGATGTAAACAATCTCTATGACTGATGGGAAAAATATTTGGGATTATAATATTTTAGATATAAATGGAGTTGAACCAATTAATTACTCGTTATTTTAATATTCATTCCTTTAGGGAAAAAAACTAATTAGCTAGAACATTTCTTGATGCAGAATGCTGTTTGTGATAGGATAATATCATATGCCTGCAAGGAAGACCAATTAATACCACTATTATTCATATTTGCATACCAACTACTAATGCCAATGATAATGAAATTGGAGAATTTTACCAAACTCTTTAGTGTGAAATTGAACAAACATACATTAATCAAACATAATTACTGGTGATTGGAATGCAAAGGTTGGAAACAAAGAGGAAGGAACAGTAGTTGGAAAATATGGCCTGGTGATAGAAATGGTGCTGGAGATCACATGTTAAAATTTTGTAAGACCAATTTCTTCTTCATTGCAAGTACTTTTTAAAAACAACATAAAAGATGACTATACACATGGAATACACAGAAATTGACTACATCTGCAGGAAGAGACTGCAGAAAAACTCCATATCATCAGCCAAAACAAGGCCAGGGGAAGACTGTGGAACAGATCATCAAATTCTCATATGCAAGTTAAGGTTGAAGATGAAGAAAATGAAAACAACTCCATGAGAGTCAAAATATGACTTTGAACACATCCTACCTGAATTAGAGATCATCTTAAGAACTGAGTTGATGCATTAGACACTAAAGACC